GACTGAAGTTGTCAAGGATTTCATTTAACTTGGATCCACAATCAACACCCACGGAAGCAGCAGTCAAGAAGTCAAACGACCCATTGCATTGGGCAAATCTGCTGCAAAAGACCTCTTTAAAGTGTTGAAGAGCAAATTATGTCACTTGGAGGACTAAGGTGTGCCTGACCCAAGCCATGGTGTTTTCAGTTGCCTCATATGCATGTGAAAGCTGGACAATGAGTAAGGAAGACTGAAGAAGAATTGATGACTATGAGTTGCGGTATTGGCGAAGAATATTGACTATACTACGGACTGTTAAAAGAACAAACAAATCTGTCTTGGAAGAAGTACAGCCAGAATGCTGCTTAGAAGCAAGGGTGATGAGACTTCATCTCACATACTTTGGACATGTTATCAGAAGGGATCAGTCCCTGGAGAAGGACGTTATGCTTGGTAAAGTAGAGGGTCAGCAAAAAAGGGTAATACCCTCAAGGAGATAGATTATCATAGTGGCTGCAGCAGTGGGCTCAAGTATAACAATGATTGTGAGGATGGCGCAGGCCTGAGCAGTGTTTTGTTCTGTTCATAGGGTCACTATGAGTTGGAACTGACTGGATGGCACCTAACAACAACAACAGTATCTCCCTAGGAGTATCCTTTCACTTTCTTTTCCGTGGAGGGGGCACTTTCAGTCTCTCTCTCTGCTCGCTGGCTGCTGCCTCTTTCCTAAGGAAGACTGTATATGTGGTTTGATTGGGGGGAACCTAGCATCTCTTGGACCAAAGACATGTCCATAAAGAGGAGCAGAATCACTGCATTGGAAAGATAGCATGGGCAGCCCATTTTTCTCTTGGCAGGTCTATACTCAAGGTGTAGCATACATGCGCTGTGTTTCCAGAATCTTCATGTAATTGGACCAGGGCATACTTTGAAAGGTCTCGCCAGGTCTCTGCATTCTCTCCACCTGTGATTAGCAGGGAGGTGGGTCAGGGCTTTTCTGGAAATCTGTTACCTGCAGGTTGGGATAAGAAGTTGGAGGCTCCCATTGTTTTTGTCGTTGTTAAGTGACATCAGGTCAATTCCAACTCATAGTGTACCCATATAATGGAGTAGAATTGCCCCATAGAGTTTCCTTGGCTGTAATCTCTATTAGAAGCAGATCACCAGGTCTTTATTCTGTGGAACCACCGGGTGGGTTTGAACCATCACCTTTTTGGTTAGCAACTGAGTGCTGAACCATTTGTGCCACCAGCACTCCTTTTGAAAGCTCCTACTTGGTGTTAATTAGTAAGAAACTGAGAGAGAAAGAATGGCAGTAAGTGATTGGCACCTCAAACATCCAAGGTTGGGAATTAGAGGAACACTGTAGGAAGGGAGCATTCGTGCGGTACCTGAGTTACAGGCCATCAGGATACCTTGGCCCAGTTATAATACAGGGTTTCAAGTTAGAAGCTATGCACCCTCCACCCTTCCCAGAAAGTGCCCATACTCATGCTTTCTCCTACTCCCCCGAAAGAAATTTCTCAGAAAGAGTGGGTAAAGCTTGGTTGTCACCTCAAGAGAAGCCTATAAAGTTTGTTTTACATTTTATATTACATAAAATATAATATATTCATATTCTATTATAAATATATACTATATTGTACATTATATAATATCATACGATGTGTAATATGTGTTTGTATTTTGTATTTTGTCAAAGTATTTGATATATAAAATAAAATATTACAGTGTTTGTTATATTAAAAATATATGTATTGTTTATATAACTTGTCAAGCCTAAAAATGAAACAAAAACCTCAGAATCTGACATCCACCTTATGAAATAAAACATTACCAATTTTCACCACTTAAAAAAGTATTACTAGTTTTCATGATGCTTCCTGTGTGTTCCTGGTTCCTGTCTGATGCTATCCTTTTATTGCCCCTCTGGAGGTAACCCCTATCTGGATGGTATTTGTCATTCTTTTTCCCCCTTTTAAAGTAGCTTTTACCGCATATGTATGTATTTCTCAGTAGTATGTTGTGAGTTTTACATAAAACTGAATTTATACCCTTTTCAGCTTCATTTAAATGTCACATATTGTTCTGGTAGATAAAAAGCAGATCTCTGCCCTTGAAACTTGGGTTTTCATTGGTGCAGAAAAATCTTGTTTTTTTCTGATAATGCCTTCCTGGAGTCAGGGAAGCTGCCTGGCAACCTCCACAGATTGCTGATAGGGGCTATACAGGAGAAATGATGCTGTGAGCCAGTGAAGGAAGCTGAGTTACTGGAATTAGAGCCCACAGGGGCTTCTCATCAAGGAGAGGTCACCCATACAGACAGGTCTGGGCACCTGAGAAGCAGATAGACTAGCAGAAGGCTGGGGTGAGCAGGAAGGCTGAAAACCAGAGTGCTGAGTATGGAGCTCAAGGAGAGGACTTGCAAGCAGATGTGGGCAATGGTGGTTCAGGATCAACATGTCAAATACTGAGCTCCTGCACCTAGATTCCTTGGGTAGGCAGATTGGTAAACTCCTGGTGGCTGAAACAGAGGTTTAGAGCAGCTGAGCAGACAGCTTCCCCTTCCTCCTTCCTTTATCATTTAACAGCTATTTATTAAATACCGACTGTCACTGTGAGTTGGAATTGACGAGATGGCAACGGGTTTTATTTTGTTTGGTACAGTGAGTCCCCGGGTGATGCAGATGGTTGACATGCTCAGCTGCTAACTGAAAGGTTGGAGGTTCTAGTTCATTTGAGGCATCTCAGAAGAAAGGCTGGTGATCTACTTCTGAACAATTACAGACCTCTGGCCAAAGCAAGTCATGTGACCAAGGCTGATGTCACTGGGGAGAGGAAGTAGATTCCCCCACATGGAGGCACTGTGCTATAAGATACAGGGCAGTGAGCAGAAGCATAGACTTTCTTTCTGGGTAGGGGGATGGAGAATAGCTGGTAAAAGTATTAAAATTTATTATAGATATGAACAGGGAATTGTAACAGTAGGATCATGCTTTATAGTAAATAAACGTTATACTTTTGATTTTATAAAATAAATTTACATATAGAAATATATTTCCCCCTAAATTAGTATCAGAGATTCTGTTGCTAATATGTTTGAAGAGCACTAGTCTGAAAATTGAGGATTGTACCAGACAGCTAACCCAGAGGAGTAGGAAGAAGGTAGGGGCTGGACATGTGTTTATATACAGTGCTGTTTGAGAGGAAGCTTCTATATTTCCAACACTCCTCTTGGTTTATTTTCCAACCATTTGGGCTGTCTGCAAGCACCTCCATACCTGTGTGTTTCTGATGCACTCCAGCCCCCTACCCCATCACACACCTCCTCAAGCATAGTCATGCCCACATGGCTTTAGAAGGACACTTTCTTTTTTGCTTCATCAATAAGTCAGTTGATGTTTGAGGATGGGTCATTTCTTCTTTTCATAAAGTCCCCACAACTCCTACTACCACACTGGGCACATACTGGACACTTAAAAAATATGTACCAAATGGAGTTTTTCATCAGAGGATGCTAATACTCTGGGCTTCTGTGCTTGCTCTCACTCTCTCTCTGCAAGTGTAGCTAGAAACGGTATGGTCACAGTTGGAGTTACATAAGAGTGATTCCAGTACACTTAGACCCAGGTGTAAAGCACTCTTTCCCTCAGTTTGTAATTGGTATAGGGACTGAATAGTTCATCCTCTCACAATGAGCCAGTATTCATCTGCACTCATGTGTGTTGTTTTGCAAATGCTAGTGGCCTTTTTCAAAGATATGCATTTGTGTTTTCCAAGGGCAAGGACTGTATCTCCTCTTTTCATTCTTTTAAGTGATTCCCCATAGTACCTGATAAGAGCTCTGTGCACAGCGGGGCTCCGTAAATCTTGCCTGTCTCCTCTTCCTTTGAACCTCCACCAGATAAAAAGTGTGGTCCTGGGCCCATGGGCGTTTGCAGAGGACTGATTACACACAGGGCTTGTTCTTGAGAATTTTATAGGCAAAAAAGGAGTAAACTCTCAGACAACTGGGATAGAGTAGCAAAGCTGCATAATTAGCCTCACATCAGGATGTCTATATTCTGAAGCCCCATCAACATGACAGAGGTCGTGTTGTGGGACCATTAGGTATTTAGCCCTGGCCCACCCCTTATGAACATTATGATCTGTGTCAGGTTATTTAACCTCTCTGGATCTCAGGTTCTTCTTCCATAATGTAAGAATAATAAAAATGCTGATAATTGTTGTGGTCTTTTGTACTTATAAATAATATCCCTCTTCCCTGCTTATATTCTGAATCAATTGAGACTTACAAGTAGAGAGCTGGCAGAAGGTGACTCAACTACCACCTTTGTTACTGATGAAGGGTTGATAAGAGAATGTGGCGTTTAGGCTTCTAATACTGAATCCTAGAATTCGATAGACTTCTACAGTCACCAGCTAGTCAGATTACCTAAGGCATCCTTCAGCAGGGGAAGGACTCATGTGAAGTTTAGGTTTTAGACAATGGAAGAACAAACATTAACTCTTTGCTCTCCCCAAGGGGAAGGGGCTCAGCCTCATGTGTACCATCCAAACTTAGTGACTAGATTGTTGTTCTTCCTCCCCAGGAGGAGGGCCAGAGCAACCTGAGAGGGACAAGGAGTGCTACACTATTAGAGCGGAAATTTGGGGAAGAAGCCTTCTACTATGAAGTGAAAGAGCTTTGTGGGCCCCAGAGGACTCTAGGGATGTTAAACTTCATACTAATAATCTTATAAATTGTTTTGGTTGAGTTGATCACGTATTAAAATAAGGCTTACAGTGCTTCTACAGTGTTTTAGAAGTTATCCTACACATTTGGGAAAATACAAAAGGTCATGTCTTATCCAGTATTGTGTAAATGAGACCTTTAACAGAGATCGACTTCTCCTTTCCCTGACTTTGGTCCCTATGAGCCTAACTGTGGCCAGAGGGACACGGCTGTTTCCTGGGGAAGCTGAGTAGATATCTGTTGTGGCTACATTCTAAGTGCCTGCTCTGTTACTCTTTTGCAGTGCAAGTTGGAATTCCATGCTTGTTCTACTGGCAGAAGCCTCACCACCCTCTGTGATGGGCCCTGTCCGTGTCTCCCAGAACCTGAACCACCAAAACACAAAGTGGAAAAGAATGGTGAGTGGGCATCTCAGGAGACTCCTTGAAGGAGGTGTGGGTGGTCAGAGAGGGCTGGCATTTCCCAGAGCCATTCTGTAGAGGTGGGCTTGCTTGGCAAGTACTCCCACTTGTCTAGGGACTGACTCTAAACTGAATGGCCTTCAGCAACCATTAAAAGAAAAAAGAAGAGCTGAGAGTCTTTGAAAATAATTCTGTTAGACCAAGATATGCACTAAGTTCTTTTACAGGTCAAATTGACTATGGGGTGGGAGGGGCAGGTTTTCAGCATCTAAGACCAGGGCTTGCCCTGGGGTACATCTTGGTCTTCCTTGAACTTTAATCTCTCAAATCCTTTGAACTTCTCAAGGCCAAATTTCAAAACAGAGACTGCAGAGATGTCACAACATTGAAGAGTATTCTCCCCAAAAAGCATTTCTTTATTAATACGTTCTGCTTGGAATTCAGCACAAAGCCAGGGGACAGATAAAAGGAGAATGCCTCCTTAGGGGCAGTGGTTTCTCTGCCAAGGCCAAGAGGGGCAGGAAAGGTTGGACTTATTTGGATGTTTTCATGATGGAGAAAGTAATGTTGTCCCACTGGTCTCAGCCCTTTTTGAGCTTTCCTTAATGAGTCCTAGGATAGAAGTTTGAATTTTGCTTTTGTGGAACTGGGTCTTTCTCAGTTGTAGCTGGCTAGTTCATGCAAAATTGTGTGTGTGTTTGTGTAGGAGTCCCTGAGTGACACAAATAGTTCAGTGCTCAGCTGCAAACTGAAAGATTGGTGGTTCAAATTCACCTAGAGACATGTTGGAAGAAAAATCTGGCTATCTACCTCCAAAAAGTCAGACATTTAAAACTTTATGGAGTACCGTTTTACTCTGGCACACGTGATTACCATGAGTCACAACAGCAACTGGCTTCGTTTTTTTGATTTGTGTGTGTGTGTGTGTGTGTGTGTGTGTGTGTGTGTGTGTGTGTGTGTGTGTGTGTGTGTGTGTGAGCAGGTGCATGTGCGTGCTTGGGTCTTCTAAAGTTAGCAGCTATTTGTAGTGAAGGAGAATGAACAGGATGGGAATGTTTATCCACTTGTCGCTTCCTAAGCTGCATCATCTCACCATGGCAAATAGATGAAGATGTTTAAGTCTAGATTTATTCATGGTGACTTCAGGAATATTGTGTTCAAAGGCTTTTTGGGAGGTTGAACTCAGGATGTGGAAGGACATTGTAAACCATAGACCACTGTGACCACAGATGATCTCCAAAGATTATTCTTGATTACAGAAAAAGCTAGTCTTGGTGCATTTTGGCCTGATTAATTGACGTAACTGCAGCAAGAAATGTTAATTAATATGCATAACCTTCCTTGTAGTATACCATATGGTATATGGTGTTAAGCAACTGCAAAGTCCAGAAAATTAACTTGTGTCTAGAGGTTTCTTAAGAATCTTCTTAGAAAGTTTCAACAGCCTTGATTATTCCAGATTTTTTTACTGCGTTTATTTACTCTCTATTCTGAGACTGAGATCCCTAGGTAGTGCAAATAGTTTGTGCTCAACTGCTACCCTAAAGGTTGGCATTTCTGACCCAGTCAGCAGAAGAAAAGACCTGGCAATCTGCTTCCGTTAAGATTACAGCCAAGAAAGAAAACCCTATGGAGCAGGTCTACTCCATAACACATGGGATTACCATGAGTCAGAATTGACTCAATGGCAGCTACAATAATAATAATTCTGAGGCTAGGAAACCAAACCATAAAGTCATCTCTACCAGTTTTGCCTGTAGTGTCTGTAAACGGAGATGAAGACATCACTCCTCAAAGGCCTCCAAATCTGCTAAGATTTCCTGGCTTGCCATTAATAAGGTAACAGACCAGTTTCCTGGGAGGGCTTTGTGACTCTTTAAGTAAATTATAATCCTTGTTATACCGATTAAATGACATTTATTCTCAGATATGCTTTTCTACCTATGGCCTCGGTTGTACCATTTATTTGTACAATTATATACAAAACTTAGAACACATTCTTATGTAAATGACTACATTGTCATTAAAAGTAGAGACATAGAAAAAAAAAAGTGTTGTTCCTAAGTTCTGAGGTGTCACTGAGAACAAGATTACCATTTAAAAATGTTTCATTTCAGTTTGCAAAAGCATAGATTACTAAATTAATGGTGTGGGATAGATCAGGAAGAAAGAGAAAGCGCTTCGTCATATACCTATCAGAAAATAGAACATTAAAAGATAATACCAACAATATCCTAAAACAAATAACCAAAAACATGTCTCCCTTATCAGTTCCTTCCGTCCCATGTAATTAATTTTTTTTTCCACTGGATCTTGGGTCAACAGTTTGCCTTTATGAAGTCATCTGCCTCTGGACTAAAAAGAATTCTGGAAATACTGACTCAGTACCTGGTATTGTTTGGCAGTTTCTTAAGCAATATCACCTTGCAAGCCTGTACCAATGAGTCTAATACTTGGAGTGTCAGTAGTTCAAATCTGATGCCATCCTTTCCATGAGGCTCTGAGACTGTCTGTGTTTGTTAAAGACCCAGTTTCTAGACTGTGATTCACAACAGGATTTTTAAGCGAGCATTAAAGGAAGCAGAAACTACCTGTTGGTGAAAACACTGAGTGACTGTGGTTGATTTATTATAGTATTCAACAATATTCTAATAGAAGAGAGTAGAGAGGTATAAAAAAAACCCAGACCAGCGGCTGTTGAGTTGATTCGGATTCCTGGTGACCCCGTGTGTGTCAGAGTAGAACTGTGCTCCATAGGGTTGTCAGTGGCTGGTGTTTTGGAAGTAGATCACCAGGCCTTTCTTTCAAGGAGCCTCTGGGTGGACTCCCACGTACCAACCTTTCAGTTAATAGCCGAGCACTTAACCATTTGTGCCACTTGGGTGCCTCTTAGGTATAATGCTCAACTATTTACTATGGATTTGATCAATTTTTCCCTGGAGGATAAGAATACATTACAGGCAATGAGGGCATTGATAAATCCCCAGGGTTGTTCTATAAAACGAAACATTTAAATCAACGTTTTACCTGGACAAAGTTAATCAAGGGAAGGCTGACCTTCCCCTTTGCTTTGACAATTCTTTCCATGCAGCTCTCAGAATAGTTTGTGGCAGGCAGTGAGGGCTGAACTGAGGGCATAGCAGTTGGGATGAAGAAGGAATGGGTGCAAAAGAGAGATCAGAGGTAAAGTGAAAGGACTGGGCAATTTAGCTATTGGGGTGGAAGGAGCAGGAAGTATGACCATGGAGTCCACCTTACCTTACCTGTCAGGGGCCCCTTCCAGAAACTGCAGGCAGTGGGAGTGGTGTCCACAGGCAGCCTCTATGTCCTTGTGAGACTCAACATGGCTTCTGACCTGTGGTTTCAGCAGCAGCCTTGTTTCTGGATTTATAGCAGAAATGATGTTTAATAATCTCATAGATGCAGGAGTGCCAAAAATGTGGCAGTATAATTATTGTTGTTATTATTTTATTTTCAACCTTACCTCTGTTTTGAAGCTCTGATCCATCTTGTAATTAAAACATGAATGTAGTCACTTCCAGGTAAATTCTATTAATTTAGTGATTTAGATTTTAAATCTGATATTCCAGGATTTTTCCTCTCTCCCTTCTCTCTAGGGTTGCATCTAAATTCTAGGAAATAGGCACAGGGTAGGGGCTTATGGTAGAGTTGTGGTATTGATGGGAGGTGATTCCTGGTATTGTCTGTCATTTTTTCACATCCACATATATGGAGTTCTTACAGTCTTCACTTGTCTAGCCAGCAATACTCATCTTCACTGCATCCAATGAGAGATCCCACCATGATCTCTGTTCATCACGTCCATTAAGCCCAGACAAAGGCCTAGGTCCTCTTTCTTCTCTGTCAGACTGCTCAGGGTTTACCAGTCCTCTGGCAGTCCCTTCCTTGGCCTTCTTGAGGGGCATAGGAAACTTGAGGATGCCCTTTTATGACTTTCTGATGTCAAGGAAGTCAGTGGTGAAGATGCTATCCTAAACCCTCTCTCCATGAACATGCTCTGAAGCCGTTTCTTTTCTTATACAGAAGACATTTTTATGAGTCATGCCTCAAATTGGATTTATATGGGAGCAAAACACAGGTCTTCTTTGCTGCTGGGACTGTGCAGCCTGTCTGGGGTTTCAGAAGTGCCTCTTCCCTGCCCAGGACCCAGACTTAGATGGGAGATGGGAGAAGTGTGGTGAGCAGGTCCTTTCCTGGGGACTCACCTGCCTCTACACATTCTTCTTCCTTCCAAAATCTCATCTCTGAATGTGAGTGTGGAGGGCTTGTGAGGGCAGGGTTTAAGGCATCCTCTTTCTAATCTTCTGGGGTGCTCTGCTTCCTCTGGTTCTTGGTCTTTTGAGTTAGGACATTCCTGGCTCTTGTAAATAAAAAGTCTTTTGTCTCAGCTATAAGTTTCAGAGCATATTTTGGAAGTCAAAGCCAAATACAGTAGTAAATTTTTTGTTCTCTTTGTTTTTTCTGGAATCCCTCCTTTGATGTGTCCCCTGAAGAAATGGTGGAGGGTGGGATCATCCTTTAAAACCTCCTAATATTTCCCATCACTCCTCTGAATTACCTTGTGACTTTGGGCAAGTCATTTAATTACCTTATCTTTTATCTCTATAACATCAGTCTGTCTCAAGAGTATAAAGTAATGATTGTCCAAACAAAAGAGGGGGAAGTTAAAAAGAAGATGAAATTGGAATACAGATATTAATCTTTCTTCAAGAAGAAACTTGCCTGAGGTCAGAGAATGAGTAGGGCAGAGTTTAGATTCGAGCCTGGGTCTCTTGACTTGTTGTCTGGTGCTTTTGTTCCTGCTATGTGTGCAACCTCAGGTCACAGTCAGTGAGTTTTCAGCCTGAAGATGGTGAAAGCTCTATAGCTGAGTTTGATGGGAATTAGATTTCAGTTCTCTTGGGATTGAAGCCACTTGCCTGAATCTTGATGTGTCGACTGTCAGGCAGCAAATGTCATTGTGTTCCTCACAACCA